GAATGCCGCTCAAGTGGAAGTCTTGGCTATTCGCTAGGCGTTAAAAAATTGTGTAATTTAGCTTTAAGTCGCCCTCGTTAGGACACCCAGCGGCTCTAATGACTCTAGACTCCAACAAGGTCACATTAAGTGTTGTGAAAGAGTACGTAAAGACGTAGGTACTCCAATCTGAGTATTGGATACAACCTGGTCAATGGCAGGTGCAAAAACCTACCGTTCTTTACGGCCTGCCACCCTTCCCGGTAGTCCTTCAGTGCCAAAAATTGTCAAGTTTAATCAAATAATCTTCTTCATAGTCGAGTTCAACTGCGAGCTATGCAATTAAAGCGGCACATGTGAATACCATTTTTCTCACTTCTATCTCCTGCCTTACAGCGAACTTCTCATCTTAATGACAAACGTTATATAACCAAACTATAGCATGAAAGAAGTGTCCTCTGTTCACATCCAATATGGAATATGCTGTCTCTAGTTTTCTTAACCCAATCCAGCCTTAAACGGAAACTCAATTTTCCTTAATTTCACTATAATAATTTAGTTTGAACATTTGCCGCCCAGCGGAGCCGTAGCATAATTACTCTACTCTCAAGGCTAATTAAATCGCAGCACGCAAAGCAAGTTTAAGTTCATTAAAAATTAAGCAGCAGTTGGTGTTTCCTTTCCATCTCGCTCTTCAATTTAGTGGGAGAAAAAGTTTGGGATATTTCTCTTTTTACACTTTTGGAAAATCTTGAACTGACTAAATTTGCGTTGGCAACATGCTGTGCTCAAAACTCGCATATTCCCATTTCGTGTGGCTTGTTAAAGAAGTAATCAAAAAATTTTTGCACTTTTTCCTTTGCTCTTCGAGGGAAAACCAGTTGAAAATAAACGGAAAAAATAGAGTTGAGCATTGCGAAGCAGTTATATGTATGTGCGGTCAAAGAAAAGCGCAGTAAGGCCAAACGTAATTGGTCATTGTTTTCATTGCTGCTTTTGTTGCTCTTTAACAAAGAACAAACGCGTTTTCGTAAAAACCGAATGCGTTGGTTGGTGGTCACGTGACATGGGAAATTAAAAGTTTCAGAAGAACAGTAAATCTAAAATATGTTGAAAGTAGTTGAAATGGCAAGCAGTGGTGGGAGCAGTGTGCACTGGCAAAGATGAGGCACAGTGAGCAAGTAAACAATAAAGTGGTGCTAGAGAGTAAGAATTGCAAATACTTTTTAGTAGTTTCAAAAGTTGTATCATTTTTTGGTAATTTTAAAAGCAGATAAAAATTTTAGCTAATTTTAAAAGTGAATAAAGTTTTTAGGTAATTTTAAAAATGAACATACATATATCTTTTGATAATTTCAAAAGTGGACATAAGTTCGGGTAACTAAAGAGAAAACTAAAGAGAACTATAAAAGAACGCTTGCAATCTGAAAATGGACATTAATTTTTATATTAAACAACTTAACATAATTTTTTGATATATTAAAAATGGACTTAATTTTTGGTAGTTTAAAAAGTGGACATAAATTTATGGCAATTTAAAAATTGGATTACATTTTTTGATAATTTAAAAATTGACATGATTAAAAAGAATAATAAATGAACGCTTTAAAGTTTAAAATGGATATTACTTTTGTATTCAAAAACTGGGCATTCATTTTTTGATAATTTAAAACCTGGACATATTTTTTGGTATTTTAAAAAGTGAACATAAGTTTTGATAATTTTAGTAAAAACTGTCCCTAATTTTCAGAGCCACTCTTTTTTATATGTCTAGTTTTTTAATTACTAATCATGTGTGTCCCTTTTTTAAAAATGCCCTGAAAGTGATGTCCAATTTTTAAATAAGTAAAAATATATAATATATTTTAAATGAGTAAAAATATATGCTTTGCTACAATCAGACTTAGACCTAGATTTAAATCCATATTAAATGAAATTCTGAAATAAACTTAAACAGAATTAGTCTCTGTATAGTCTGTAAGAAAATGTACATTTTCTAGATTATTCTTAAATAAATAAATAAACAGCATGGCTTACTGGTGTAAAGTAAATCGTATGCCTCTAAATCTTAAGAAATGTAAAGTAATGTGCTTCTCGCGAAGAGCTGTTCATCCGCTTCTTATACAATAGGTAACCATAAGCTGGAACAGGTATACAATTTTGTGGACCTTGATATCACAATGGATCCTAAGCTTAATTTTAATCTTCATATTATTGTGACAGTCAACAAGGCTAAAGGTGTAGTTGCATTTGGGAAACGATGGTCAAAAGAATTTTGTGACCCTTATATCTCTAATACCCTGTTTACATTAGTTAGGCCAATTCTGGAATACGGTTCGGTGGTTTGGAATCCAAGGTATCAAATTCACTGAGACAAGATAGAATCAGTTCAAAAACAATTCCTACTTTTTGCTTTAAGAAATTTCCGATGGGATTCTCAATATAGTTTTCCACCTTATACGAGTCGTTTAAAACTTATTAACCTTCCTACACTTGCCAGTCGCAGGGAAATCCTTTTTGCTTTAAGAAATTTCCGTTGGGATTCTCAATATAACCTTCCACCTTATACGAGCCGATTAAAACTTATTAATCTTCCTACACTTTCCAGCCGCAGACAAATGCTTGGTACAATTTTTATAGTTAAATTACTAATAAGCAATTTGGCAATTTATTTAGTAGAAGGTATAAATAATTTTCTCCATACAAAAAATAATTTTCGAACATACTTTGTATGGAAGAACCTGCGTGAAAAAAATTTCCAAAAAGCAACGCGATTTTCTAGCAACTTCAAACTTGCACTTCCTTATACTAAAATTGAATGGGCTATAAAACTGCATTCTTAGAATTTTTCTAACAAATCGGAATAAAAAGTTGCAAATTGGTATGCAAATTTATTGAATTTTCCTGAGTTTTGCACAAAGTTTGGAGATTTGTTTTTTATGTTTTTTGTTGGAGTATGGACCATAACCATTTTTATAAAGATTATAGCAAATAAATAGGAATAAAAAACTTTGCATATACTGCGAAAAATTCACTGTGCCAACACTTTTGTTCGTCACTGTATATATATGTATGTTTGCGCATTTTGGTTTCCGTTTTCTGGTAATTTTGAACTGTACGCTATTGCGATTGTCGCTATTCTCGAAATAGCTAGAATTATTTTTGTCATTTCGAATATTTTGGTTGCTGTAAAAATATTTAGTACTCCATTCAAGACTTTACGCCAAGGCACATGACATAGCAGCAAAGGTCGAGAACAACAGTTCTCTTATTTATGTATTTGCGCGCAGACTCCCCCACTTGCTGCATTTATGTACACATTCACTTTCCCATCTTTTATTTGGCCACAATTAAGCATTTGACTGAGCCATTAAGTGGTTTTTGATGGTACTTAATTAGAGTTCTACCGAATGTTCGGGTGTAAGCGCAAACGAAAGTCATTCAGATTGAACTAAATACATACAAGCCTTACTGGAAAATATATTCGAGATTACATTTAAAGAAAAACATTGTTTTGATCCCTAAACTCTATCAAATGTGAACAAGCTACACTAAAGCTGTCAAGGTGAGACCAGTGGTGAACTTTTCAAGAGCATGAAATATTACTGATTGGCTAAGTTATGCACAGTTGTGCACAAAATAACAGGAGTGTGATATTTTGGCCACTTTTGACTATTTGTCTTTTGTTTAGTTTTGAGAATATTTGTGGTTGAAGGTGTTTCGCATTTTTTCCATTCGAAGTGTATTCGACAATTTTCTTTTATATGAAAGAAAGTGCAAAAAAAAAACACTCTGATACAAAATTGAGATTCATGTCTCCGTATTTGATAAAACCAAAAGGAAATGGAAGCTCACACCTCACATAGCAATTATTAGCTTATTTTGTATGCGTATTTAAAGCTGGTGACCCTGTTTACAGGAAAAATTGACTAAGTTCGATCAAAAAACGAAATTCTTCTGGAAAGTTATAGTATATAACTATTTTTTTGGGTCGAGGAATTCAGTTTTGATATTTGTTTTTCCCTAAAACTTACACTAGTCTGCGCTGTGGTACAATTTTTGCTATTTTTTATGGATTTTCATGGAAAAATATTATTTTTACTGTTTTTAAGGTTTTTAATCCGCTATCTATGCAAGTTTTATTGTTAAAGTTATGCTAGATGATGTGATAACGATTATACATAATTTTTGGTAAAAAAGAACGCTTTATGGTGATAAGAAGTGATTATGTGAAATGTTATAGGAAAAAAGACTTTCTTAATTAAAAAAAAAAAATATTTCTATTACAAAATGGGGTTTCTGATTACATTTAGAAAAATTATGATAAGAAAATACTTAATAAAAATGGCTAAAAAATTATGAAAAAAACGAAAAAACTAGAACTGTATTTTTTCAATCTAAGTCTAACCTTACTTTTAATTTTATTTACACCCGGTACTAGTGAAGCAAAAAAAATTAAAACAATGTGAACAAGAATGAAAATGTTTCGAAAATTTGCGACATTATTTATTGTTGTTTGTGGAAAATTTAACATAGCAAGCAGTCTGACTGATATAAGCAACAGTGCGAAGGATAGGTGAAATGAACTATAAGATTTGCACCGTTCAATTTTCAAAAATGAGGTGCCAAATGAACGGGCTTGACCTCTAGATGGGCAGTAAGGTTATATTTTTTTAATAGGCCTGCCTCGCGCGATTTTCATATATGAGGTGTCAAACGAAGAGCCTTGGCAAATAGATGGGAAAGTAGGGTTTATTTTTTGAATAGGTTTGCCACCTTTTTATATACCCCTGTTTTCAGCTGATTAAGTTAAGCGAAATTTGGAGTAGTTTTCTCTAGTTTTTCTTTTGTTTATTTTATGTTTATATTTTTTTTTTTTATAAAAGTCTGGCCATAACCAGCACCACATAAATCCACATTTCAAACTTTAACAATTACACCCAAAAATTTTAAAACTTTTTTTAGGTACGCAGTTTTTTATAGCCCATTATGTATGTAGTAAATAAATTTTAGGTACTCACCGCAACGCCTACAACTTTATGGACTTGAAAAGATGCAGCTGAAAAAGGAAAGCGGAAATCGAATAATGTTAGTAATGGGATAAGAAAATGAAATTAAGGTATTATACAGAACTATACATACTTATGTATGCAATTTTAGTTTAGTTTAAGTAAAATTTATTTATATCTTTTCGGCAGCAAAAAACTGGCGATTTTTCTTTAAGTATGTAAAAAGTGAATTGATTTGTTTCGTTTTCCAGATCTTTTGAGGTTTTCTAGGGGTTTTATTCGAAATTTTCTTTTTTTTTGCGATTTTGAAGGACCGTACGTGTACTACTCCGAACTGTTTGGGAATTTTTAGGTCCCAAGGTATTTAAAAATTTTATTATTGCCCTTTCCAATTTGCCTGTGTAGTCGTTTTCCCACTAGCACACTCACTATTGTCTAGCGTTAAAAATCAAACAAAGCATACATATGTAATTACATACTTTGCTGTTCACACTCTCATAAGCAATGCTTATCGATCTTATCAAAACAGATACCCAAACAAAACTCATTGTATTGTCCTGTCATTGAAATACTTGCGGCTATTACTTTCAGCTTAAATTGCAGCTTATAGCTGTTGCAAAAGCTTTTGTTCAATACTATTAAAATTAATATCAAATTGCAATGATTTTCTGACAAACGCCAGATTTTTTGGGTCAATGAAAAATGTATCTAAAGCTTAAACTGAATGAAATTAATCAAATTTATTTAATTTACTCATTTTCGTTGTTGGTGTTTCCGACAGGGTAGGAGTGTGATGTAATGTGGAACGATTTTCCGTCATCCCTTGTCAAATTTGGTTTGGAGACAAACCGGTTTCGGCGTTGTGCCATCTTCAGTGTCATTTTTCGTTCTGAATAGTTTCTGTTTGTCCGTCACTATTTATAGCCGTGTTAAATCGTCGTTGGTTCATAGTTAGGTACGTCTCAGCGGATTATATTCTTTCGTTCAACCAGTAGTTTCAGTTCTGTGTGTACATCCTCAGGTAGAAATTAGCTGTTCACCTCTTTTTTGATTAATTGTTGCATGGATTCGCAGGTAGGTAAAAGTCAGTTATTTTCTTTCTCTTTGTTTCTGTAGTTTGGACCTGCATTTCATTGTTTATGATAGTTGCAGGGTTTCTGTTTTGTTTTGCTTATAGTAGCCTGAGTGGTTCGAATAATATATCAGATGCGGTGTTTATTTGCTCATTTATTATTTTTCCGACGAACGTCTTTTGTTTGTATATCTCCATATTCTCTAATACGTTTAGGCGTTGTCCTTTGTGCTGTACATGGAGAACTTTGGCTGTCTTTCCTATTTTCATTGGCGTACAATGGTTTTCTGCCATGTGGTTTGCGAAGTTCGATTCCGGGGTAGTAGAAGGTTTTAGCATTTTTTTGTTGTAGTCCCTTATATGTTCACGATATCTTGTTTTTATCTTGCGCCCTGTTACCTCAAACCAACAAAATTTGCAATTTGTGGTATGATGATAAATTTTAATTGCAAAAAGAATGCAGTTGTTTCTGAATTTACATTTTGTTCTAATGCCAATGTTAAAAAAAAAATCTTTTCTGAATGTTTTATTTATTATTACTATTTTGTTTAATTTAATGTTCCTATATTTTATTCTATGCGTTTTAAGTATTTTCTCCTCTAAGTGTCATTCAGTGAATGCTGTCCACACTGTCCACTCAATAGGTGCTTCACATCGTCTTTACGCAGCTTTTAGTTCGTTCGCCCCGCTGCGATCCTTAACCACGCTAGCTACGAGTATTAAGTAGACAATGCTCTCTTAAGTACGAACTTAAATATGTATGTATGTTTATATTCATTATTCTATCTGTTGCATGAATTGCACACCAAGATTCGCTGAGTCATCATAAAAAGCGCAGAGCTCCAATAGCAACGCCATGCATGTCTATTGCACATAAAAGTGAAGTATACGGTGGCGGGCAAACAGATAGGGACGCGACATTTTAACGAATTTTGGCTATTTGTATTTTTTTTTAATTTTTATTAGTATTTTATGAAAGTATAGCTCACTATCTAACAAAACTTATGTATGTAAATCCGAATTTCAAAAATTTGTACAAATTCGACAAAGTTTCATCAAAATTGAATAGAAAAAAATTTCGTACCCTGTTTTGTAGCCCATTAGCATGTATGTTAAAGTGCAAGTTGATTTGTTGCATTTTTTTTTTGCTGAGGGTGTTGTGCATTCTCCTCCATATAAAAAAATTATGAAACATATGTACTTCGTATTAAAAAAAAGAAAAAGCATGACCAAGTCAGCAAAACAAATTTGCCAAAAATCAACGGAAAGTCGTAGCTACTTCAAACTTGCACTTATTATATAATTGCATACCAAAATTTATTCTACAAATTCTGATTTAAAAGTTTGAAATATTAAGAAAATATTGTCGGATTTTCCCCATTTTTTTATAAAGTATAAAATTCGTTTTTACATGGTTTTTGTTTATTATTTATTATATTAACTGCATAAGTTAAAAGTTTGAAATATTAAGAAAATATTGTCGAATTTTCCCCATCTATCTATCTATATATATAAAATAATAGCCGTTTTCGTTGTTCGGAGTTAACTCAAAAACTACTGCATAGACTTCAGTCAAATTTTCAGAGGTTATGCCTTGCATATATGGTCCTATTATAGGCTACCAGAAAACCCGCTAGGTTGCGCTGGGGTCGAGTTACTTATAAAAGTGGTATTTATGAACCGATTTCATTCAAATTCAAAACGTGGGCTACCTCCATGATGAGAAATAGGTATGCGAAAATACACCCACTAGGTGGCGCTGGAGTCGAGTTATTTATAAAAATCGTATTTACGAACCGATTTTAAATTCAAAAAGTAAGCTAATAGCATGATGGAAAATACGTTTACCAAAAATAGACCCGCTAGGTGGCGCGGAAGTCGAGTTATTTATAAAAATCGTATTTATGAACCGATTTCGTTAAAATTCAAATTATAAGCTACCTGCATGATGAAAAAAGCGTTTGCGAAAACGGACCCGAATCGGTTCATAACCGATTTTGTTAATGCAAATTCGAAAAGTTTATTACTTTCATGATGATTTTTTTTTTCATTCGAAACATATATGTACATACATACATAAAATGATAGCCGTTTTCGTTGTTAGGACTAAACTCAAAAACCAGTCAAATTGTCGGAGGTTAAACCTTGCATATATGGTCCTATTATAGCCTACTAGACAAAACGGTGGTGGCGCTGGAGCAGAGTTACTTATAAAACTCGTATTCATTAACCGATTTCGATCAAATTCGCAAAGTGTATAATGTATAATGTATAATGACAAATTCGTTTCCTAAAAATGACCTGCTGTATTTTATAAAATCTGATTGAAATTCATAATGCGTATTCATTTCATGACAGGCAGTGGTTTTGCAGAAAAGGGACCTAATGGATTGCGCTGCAGCCGAAATATATAGAAACCTACACGGGGTTTGGTCTGCTCTGAATTTACTTTTCATATGGCTAAATGGAGAAATCGTTTAAGTATGCATGGAAAGACCGCAACAAAAATGGCAAATTGACATGGAAAGATTCGACCACGTCCGTAAAAAAAGGAACACGGTAGGTATATCAATAGCTCCATTTGAACGATATTTAAGAGGTCGCACGACTTATTTGGCCAGTGTACGGGAAAACTTTTCATCGTGGGGGATGGGGGGCGAGGATTTTCTTGGCCCTCCTATAACTGAAAAATGGTTTACTGACCAATGTTGAAGTTGCAAGATCATAGCAGAATATTACGCACGCTAGGCAGAGATCTCACAGGTGGAAATAAGACCATCGGTAAAACTCATGACATCGAAAGGTATTCCATATGGTATCATAGCGTTACTATTCTTGGCCTATGTGTGAGGAGGATTCTTTCTGTTCTTTATTCGTTTCAATTTAAACTAAAAGTGTTTACTTTACAGACCGCCTTTGCCTTTAAACGCTATGTTTGTATTGGCCAACGCAAAAGATCTTATTAGGCGCCGCGAAGCAAGCGGGCATTGGCTAGTTTTTTTTATAAAGTATAAAATTCGTTTTACATGGTTTTTGTTTAATAGTGAGCTATTCTTTCATAAATAAAACTAATAAAAATTTTATAAATTAAATTAAGACAAAAAAGACTTGCTAGAATGTCGCACCCCTACCGCCACCGTATACTCTACTTTTATGTGCAATATGCATTCATGGCGTCACTGCATATTCGCGTTATATACGTATTTGGTTTGTTGTTTTGAAGCGTTGGGAAGAATTTTATGTTTTCTATTTTTATTTTTCGATTTCTTATTTAAATGTAGTTGAGTGCATGAGCGAGATTAAGTGGAACTTGTAAACAATTGAAGTAGATTTTCAGACGACTTTTCTGGGTTGTTATTGCAGCAGATTTTAGTGCAGATTGAAGATGCAATTGATTTACATAAATAAAAATAAATAACAAATTAAAAAAGTGAACTAGAGTACAGAGTAGAGTGCTAGAGTTCCCGCCTACTTACATTATATATTTAACTTTCACTAAAAAAGATTTTGGCTTTCGTTGTACAACACTAAAACCTTTCCAAAGTAAACTTTCACCCACGGCTGGATATTCACGCAACCCCGTTATCTTCTAGGCACATTTCACAAAAAACCGAGTCTCTTGCCACAATTATATTGAATTAGTCCACAAATAGCGTTTGCGCAAGATTAACAGAAGTTTAGTTTAGCAGCAGCCACAAATATGTCGAACTTTTCTGACCGAAAGACAGTAGTGTTACTACCAAGAGCGAACGAGAGCTATGTACGTTTCGTCTCGGAAAAGCACCGGCTTGGGAGCTAAGGTTCAGTGAAGAGTACATTTACATTACAGAGACACAATCGATATAAATATTGGTAGTTATCGATAGAATTATCGAAATTTTATCGATACAATAAATACTGTTTTTAATATACACTTGTGGTCAGCTGATTAAGTTAAGTGACATTTTGGCAAGTTTTGGTTATTTTTCTTTTGTTTAT